ACGACAGCAACTTGTCTGTTCCCCTTCCCCCAATTCCCCAGCGCTGTTCACACCCCCCAATTCCCCAATAAAAATCTTTAAAAAAATAAAAAAAATAAAATCTATGCCTCTATGTGAGCTCTGAGCAGCAGGGCTGTCGGTTCGGATCCCACATGAGCCAGTGATGCTGTGCCCTCTACAGCTAAGATGGTGAACAACAGCTTGACCTGGAGCTGCGCTGCCATGAGTCACTGGTGACGGTATAGGCTGCAGTGAGGCTGGCCGGCAGCTGGTCTGAGCTTTCGTGAGCTGCCGTGAGCCACCATGAGCGGCCGTCCAATCTGCCTCAGCCAGAAAGAGCACAATGATCACAATACCAACATGGGCCAGTGAAGCAACGTCCTCCACAACTAGACTGAAGAAGAAAAGGACAGCAACTTGTCTGTTCCCCTTCCCTGATTCCCCAACGTTGTTCCCTCCCCCAATTCCCCAATAAAATCTTTAAAAAAGTAAAATAAAATAAATAAAATGTATGCCTCTAAGAGTTTTCCATGCCAATATCTATAGAAGCAATTCATTGCTTTTTAAGTATTGTATAGTATTCAATAGTATAGACATATTATAGTTGATTGAACCATTGCTCTTTTGATGAACACCTAGATTTCCAAATTTTTGCTGTTAAAAACAATGTTATAGTGAAAATACTAGTATATATCATTCTATGTATGTGTATGCATTTCGTTGGGGAGATATAATAATCACTGGACTTGCTAGACTGAAGAATCCATATGCATTCAAAGGTTTAGTAGTCACTGTCGATTTGCCCTCTGAAAAGGCCTCCAATAATTCGTATGTAGTTTCACCAATACTTGATATTATCAAATTTCTCAATCTTTCAAATTTTTAATCCATCGGATAGGTGAAAATTTTCTCTGATTACAGTTGAGCACCTTTTTATGTTAGAGAAGCAGTCCAACATAATGATTATAACCATAGACGCTGAAGCTGAACTACCTGGGTTCACATCTTGGCCCTACCATTTATTACCTTTGAGATCTCAGGCAAGTTAAGTAACCCACTGTGCCTCAAGTTCCTCAGCAGAAAATGGTGATGACAAGTTCTTACACTTCATAGGGCCACACTAACAATTACATTAATATATGAAATGGACTTACATTAATACACAGCATATATAGCAAATGATTGTTAGGTGTTCCTGTAACATTTTTGTCTATTAATAATCTATTAATTTTCTTCTGTTACTTGCCTGTTTGTTTCTTTTGCCAATTATCCCCTTTCCAGCTAATGTTAACAGTGGTGGTCTAGATGTTATTATTATAGTTGAATTTAATTTCTTTCTTTACATTTTTATGTATTTTCAAAATTCTTTACAATTAGTATAATTATTTTTATAATCAGAAAAAATTTTTAAAAAGGAAGCACATTTGAGATGTCACTATAAATAGCCTTTTAAAATTCCTTACAGTCAAGAAAATTTTTATTTTTTATTTTTATTGGGGAACAGTGTGCTTTTCCAGGACCCATCAGCTCCAAGTCAAGTAATTGTTTCAATCTAGTTGTGGAGGGCGTTTTTCCAGGACCCACCAGCTCCAAGTCAAGTAGTTGTTTCAATCTAGTTGTGGAGGGCGCAGCTCAGTGGCCCATGTGGGGATCAAACCGGCAACCTTGGTGTTATGAGCACTGTGCTCTAACCAACTGAGCTAACCGGCTGCCTGGTAAAGTTTCTTTGTCAAAATTAATATCAAATAAATTAATAATAAAGTTCATAATATTTACTTCCTATAACAGTCATCTAACAATTTGTTATCTTATGGCCTCTTTTAATAGTATTATTATATAAAGTCAATAAAAAATGGATGAATATACTAGAAAAAAACTTCCATAGGTTTATGACTTGTCTCACAAATTACAGTATATTTTATATATCAGAAGAGTACCTGAAGCATAAAGTACTCAGATGTTTTTGACTGAAATCATAGCAGTGACCATGTATGTTCTGATTACATTCAAATTATTAGAATATAAATAACTGCCCCAAAACATGTTATTTCTTGACAGGTGTATTGATAAAATTAGAAAATATTCTTTAGATCCAAAGTATTATAAACTCCAAGAGCAGAGCAAGTGTGTCTAGAATCTTCACAATTTTTACCTAAGCAAACTGTATGCATGACACATAGTAGGTGGTTGAAAAAATTTGGTAAAGAATCTATAAAAGTCTTCTCATATGTTAATTTAAAAAATCTTTTACAGTCTAGAAATTGGATCAAAATATAATTAAATAACAGGTACCATTTCAATTCTGTGGGAAAATGGATGCTGCTGGCATAACTAGCTACCCATCAGAATGTTATTCATCAGGACTGCTTATAATCATGTACAAAAATGAATTTCAGATGTATTAAAGATGTCAATCTAAAAAAAAAGAAACCCAAATATTTTAGATAAAAATTTATGAGAATTTAAATTTAAACATTCAAGCAAGAAGAGCATCCTAAGCAACATGGACAACCCAGGACCTATAAAGAAAAATATATGCATGTTGGACTACATAAAAAGGAAAACTTCTACACAATTTATGAAGTGATCCCCCTGATAAGGCCTGACCACTGCGCAGTACACTTGCAGCTGAAGTAGAATAATATTGAATGTCAACTATAATTGTGTGTTTGTGTGTGTGTGTGTGTGTGTGTGTGTGTGTGTGTGTGTGTGTGTGTGTGTGTGTGTAGTGTCATGGGATGTAAAGTACGTACAGCATAGGGAATATATAGTCAATGGTACTATAACAGTTATATACAATGTTGGAGGAGTAGCAGACTTGGGGGGGGGGTGTTTATCACTTTGTGAGGGGTGTAAATGTCTAATCATTATGTTGTTTTGTACACCTGAAACTAATACAATAAAAAAAGAGAGAGAAAGAGAACAAATGAATGAAGGGAGGGGAAAAAAGGGAAAACTTCTTGAATGGCAAAACATAACAAAAACTGAGACAAAAACAAACTAAAAAAATTTATTTTAAATACTTACATTAGAGTTAATATCCCCAACATAAAAGAGATTCTACAGATAGAAAGGAAAAATCCAAATAACCAACATAAAAAGACATTCTACTTTATAAAAGCTGAAAAAATATTAATTGGAGTCACAAGATGCCATTTTTAAAAAACTGAGAATAGTGAATATTAAAAACAGGAGTGGTGAAGAGGATGCAAGAAGTGCACTCTCACACACTGCTAGTAAAATTGTAAATTACTATAACTGTTTGTGCAGACAGAGCTAACTCTATTTTAAAGCTAATCCTCCATCTTGACATGTGGGTGAGCCCAGGCCCTGGACCCACTCTCCTTCCCCCCCATTAGTGCTGGAATATGTACACAGAACTCTGGGTTGATTACAGGATTTCCATTAGTTCTGTCTCTGGAGCAAACGAATTGCCCTCAATGTTATCTCTTAACTGGCTCTGGCACCAGAGCCTCCTGGCACCTGATCCCTTTGATCATCCATGGGTTCTCACTGCTTAGGAGACATAAGCACATGGTCTGGAGGGTGGATGATGCAGGGATCCATTTTGTCTTGCTGTTGCTTGGGACTGCATTTTCCATATGTAAATTCCCTATTAAACTCTCAACCAACAAGCTGGGCTTGTCTACTTTGTTACTTGACCTCTAGGCTCCTCTGGTGTTTGGGGGCCGCTTTGCATGTATAGCCCTTTAAAAAACATCATTCTGAAAAGTAATCTGAAAACATATTACAACTGGAGAATTACATATATGCTTTAACCTAGAAATAAAAGTGCCAGTCCATCAGGTACACAAACAAAATATTTACTGAAGCATTATTTGTAAGAGTGAGGAGGGTGCAAAACAACCTGAATATCTGAAAAGATGAAAGGCTGAATAACTGGTATATTCATACTCCACAATATTATGCAGCTTTCTTTTTTTAAAGGAAAAAGTCTGATTTATATTCACCAGGAGGAGTACACAGATTAAGAAAAGCAAGCTACAAAAAAATGTGTATTATATGGGCCCCATTTTGCTAAAAACTAAGCAAAACAAAAACCATTGGGTTGCTGGAAAAGTCATAATGCATTTTTGCAATGAAAAACAGAAACAATACGTCATGATTTTTCCAACAACCCAATATGTATTAGTTACTACCAGCCATGAGGTGAACCCCTCCCTGACTTACAGAACTTCTATCAAGTGTTATAATTTTTTACTTTTGCTAATGTGACAGACAAATAATGGTTTAGCTATTATTTTACTTTGCATTTTTTTTAAAGATTTTATTGGGGAATTGGGGGAGGGGAACAGCACTGGGGAATCAGGGAAGGGGTACAGACAAGTTGCTGTCCTTTTGATCTTCAGTCTAGTTGTGGAGGATGTCACTTCACTGGCCCATTTTGGTATTATCATTACGCTCTTTCCGGCTGAGGCAGATCAGTCGCTGGCCATTAGATGGCCGCTCACGGCAGCTGACAGCAGGCCCCACTGCAGCCTACGCTGTCGCCAGCGACTCCGACAGCCCAGCTCCAGGTCAAGCTGTTGTTCAACATCTTAGCTGTAGAGGGCACAGTGTCACTGGCCCATGTGAGATCCACACCAGTAGCCTTGCTGCTCAGAGCTCGTGCTCAACTCTCAACCAACACACCACTCGCTGGCCTTTACTTTGCATTTTAATTTAAATGAGACTACATGATTTACACACAGTGGCCTGTGTCACTTCTTTTGTATATTGCTACTTATGTCTTTTTTGTCCATTTAACAATAAAATGCACCATCCTCAATTTCTGTTATTCTACTACCAAGTCTCCATTTAGCTTACAAAAGGCTATATGATTAAGATTCTTAAATCAGGGTCAGTAGTCCATTAAAAAAGAGAGTACAGGAACAATACCAAACAACCAATATACACTATAATTTTTCAACTTCATTCACAAGTTCTATCAGAATTATTAGAAATGCAATCGATTTTATAACAATTGTCAAACTTGATACCTGCTGAATTCCAAGGCACAAGTATAAGATACTGTCTGGATCATATTTTTCACCATTTGGTCTCCGCACCTCTTGGATAAACTGGCATAAGCCCAAACTCAACTCAGCAAAAGTGCAAGACAGAATATCCTCCTTCAGCTTGACAGAGCGGGCTGTGGAAAGGTAGAAAACATAGGGAATTAACTTATAATAAACATAGTAATATTACTTGATTCTCTGAATGAACACTGACTACTATTGTGTCCCAGGAATTGTGGACACTGGTGAATACACAGATTTTAAAAACAGATCCTGCTCAAGGCTTTTTTAACTAATGCAATAAAGACAATGCAGTGCAAATGGTATAACAGGTGCTATGAGAGAGGTTTTATTTAAACAGGATTCTATGAAAGGAAATGAGGTACATCTAATAGAGAAGAGTCAGGTTAGACTGGAGGATGTTACACTAATGTTAGACCTTGAAATGTGAAGAAGAGTTAAATAGGTGAATAAAGAATTTGAGGGCCGGCCGAGTGGCGCGATGGTTAAGAACTGGCTTGGGACGCCAGAGGGCCCCGGTTCGGATCCTACATATGAGGGCCAGTGACACTGCCCTCTACAGCTAAGATGCTGAACAACAGCTCAACCTGGAGCTGGGCTGCCGTG